AAAGTGTTCTTGGAATTCATTTCTGGCAGAGTCTTGTGAGCTTTGCTTTCATTTGTTAGTGAAATGCTTGACATTTTTCCTTCACTTTATAAACATTACATGCAAATTACTCAGAATTCTAATTGAAAGTAATTTCCCATTAATGCAGGCTATAAAATACCATTTTATTTGAAACTGTGCCTCAGAAATAGTATGGGATGCCCCTTTACACTCACAAATTATACCCACAAATCCAGGAAGCACAATGTTGTGTGTGTGAGTCAGGGACTTAAAGCTACTACCAATGAAAATGTAAGAGGCACCTTTGGACAGGCATAGGCAAATGGCAGAGAGTGGCATGCAGTAGTGTTTGCAGCAGTGAAAAATCCAATTATGGGACACTAAACTTTAAAAGCCAACTCTTGCATAACTGCAATCTCTGGGTGACCAGCACCCTTCTAAGAATTTAATCTGCCTAGAGACCAAGCAATGGCCAAGAAGGAGGAAACAGAAACACTGGCATGCATGGTCTGAATGAGGAAGCCAAAGAACTCACTGTCCTATCAGAGTTTTTTCCTTCCAAGTCAGATACATACAGCGGACCTCCTTTGTGACCACTTGCTGTCCACACATTATCTGCAATCATGAATCTTGGAAATAAATCATTCCCAATGCTCTTAAAAATTAAAAGTAAATAGGCCGGGTGCAGTAGCTCAAGCCTGTAATCTCAGCACTTTGGGAGGTCGAGGCGAGCAGACCACGAGGTCAGGAGATCGAGACCATCCCGGCTAACACGGTGAAACCCCATCTCTACTAAAAATACAAAATATTAGCCAGGCATGGTGGTGGGCGCCTGTAGTCCCAGCTACTCAGTAGGCTGAGGCAGGAGAATGGCGTGAACCTGGGAGGTAGAGCTTGCAGTGAGCCGAGATTGCGCCACTGCACCCCATCCTGGGTGACAGAGTGAGACTCCATCTCAAAAAAATAAATAAATTAATTAATTAAATAAAAATAAATAAATAGCTTGTTTATTTAGTTATACCAGGTTATACCTAGGCATTTCACTAAATTTCCACCTTTAATGAATACCTAGCTCCACTTTATTCTGACAATCATGGTAAGCAGCAATCATTATGTTTTGAGGTAATTCAACATCCTTACCCCATCTGCATCTTTAAAAGCTCCAGCCAATAGAAAATTAGTTGGCCATGGTGGTGCATGCCTGTAATCTCAGCTACTTAGGAGGCTGAGGCAAAATAATCACTAGAACCCAGAATGTGGAGGTTGTGGTGAGCCGAGATCGTGCCATTGCACTTCACCCTGGGCAACAAGAGTGAAACTCTATCTCAAGAGGAAAACAAAACAAAACAAAAAAAAAACGCCAGCCATAAGCCCTGGGCTCTGAGAGCAGATAGCACCATCAGCAAGAACTTTGGACCAACATGAGCAAGAGCTCTCTGCCTGGTCAAGCACACAAACTAGGCACTCTGAAAAAAAAAAAAAAAAAAAAAAAAAAGAATTGCTTTCCCTTAATAATTACCATGGGATACGGACCCTGACATAACTTGAAGAACATAAGGGCAGAGAGGTAATAAGGCAAAGATTTCACCGCTCCAGAGGGTCTCCTTAAAGGCACTAGACAAAAGAACCAAAGAATGGAAATTCTAACCTTATGGATGCTTCTAGGTTAAAAATCACAACGGAAGATCTCAACCTATTTGAGTTGAATGATTCAGTGCATAATCAATCTAGTGAATGTCTATGGCATTTTCTATATTTAACATTTAGGAGAAAGGGAACAGCAAAGAGCTATTATCTCAGTATTTCAGTCTCCTAACAAATAAACCAGGAGTTGCAAGCTCAACTGCCTACAGGAGCACACAAATGAAATAAATAAGTGAAGAGCATCAAGTGAACTTGGCTTCAGAGTCTGAGAAGCAACCAGGAATATTAGAGATTTGGCAAACTGGAGTTAATGCCCCTTAAACACTTGCTGCTTCTAGTGGAAGCACTCACTATGCAGCTGTAGCTGTCTGTGCCACCAAAAATTCAAGCCCAGGGCTGTCAGATCTTCTAAATTTTTTTAAAAAGCCAGAAATATGAATTCTTATGTGAATCTCCTATTTCTTAAGGATTGGCAATTTAATTAAATTCTCTTTTTAAAAACACAAGTCAAATCAGATGTATTCATGGTGAATTTATGTGGGCCATATTTGGCCTACAGATGAACAGTGTGGGTTCTCAGATTATACAACCTACAAGTCACTCAATTTTCTGAAACAGTCTACCCTGCTCCTGTGGCCTTTTCTGCTTCCTATCTGCCTCCGTCTTTTCCTCAATATGCCAAATTACAGCATGCTACACATCTCAACGGACTCTAGGTTGGGTGTGGAGTGTGAGTAAAGAATGCTACTCTATCTCAATCACCCCATTCAAGAGTCAGCTGAGCTCTGATCTCACTACAAGGAATTTCTATTTGGAAATGAAGATCAATTACAATGGAGTCATACTGGTAGGTCAGACAGCTGGATCAAATTAAATAATTTTTTTAATATAAGTAACAAATTCTCATCTCCACAACTGCCAAGTCTTTTTTAAAGAACCTTTAGATGTCCTATCTCATGTATCAGTGATGACTAACTGCTCTCATACAGCTTTGCCACCAAGCCCAACCATGCCACAAGCAAAGGAAGAAACCTCAAAAGAAGTTCATTAACTAAGCTGAACATCACTTCCATTGAAAATGCTGTAGAATTTTTAGCTTCTACACAAAGTAGACTTATTATTTACTTTAATACTTTAATGACATCCTATTCCAATCAAAGTAAGTAAAAGGTTGAAAGGATGGGTCAACTCCACTGGGATCCAACCTACATATCTAGATATTTACCCTTTCCCATAGATTCTAACAGGATTGCTATGTTAGATAATCTCTGTTAAACATATAAACAAACTATGGTCTTCTGTATCTAGAAGACCTTCTTCTTCCTACTTCCTCTACGTAAGGATCTAAGAAAATAGTTTTCGATGTAGGATATCTCAAATATATTCACTTGAACAGGACTGGATTAGGCAAGGTTAATGTATTACCATCCACATGCATTAGTTTATTCATGCTGATACCTAAGGGCAATAAATTCCCCCAATCTGCCCATCCCATGCCACCCTAAAGCCTCTAAAGATGATACATTAGAGGGTAGCTGACTCTGATACCAATTTAGAAACAGCCAGCTTTCATTCCTAGTTAAGATCAAAATGAACAGTTGTGATAAAATAAAGCAGTGACATCATAATTATAACTGATACAAATTGGAATTTGTTTTTGAAAAAGTTTCCAAAACAGATTTTACTACAGAACATTATAAAAACAGAAAAAGAGAATGAAATATAAGAAGTTATTTTTAATACAATCTTCAGAACTCTTATTTTAACAGTGACATAAAGGCAGTAAGTGGCTGGTATGGTTTGGATATGCATCCCTGCCCAAATCTCATGTTGAAAGCTAATCCCCAGCATTCGAGGTGGGGCATGGTGGAAGGTGATTGGATCATGAGGTCAATTTCTAATGGCTTAGCATTACCCCCCTTGGTGACCTTGTTGCAACTGTAAGTTCTCCCCAGATCTAGTTATTTTAAAGTGTGTAGCACCTCCCCTATCCCTTTTGATCCTGCTGCTGCCATGTAAGATGCCTACTCTCATTTTGCCTTCTGCCATGAGTAAAAGCTCCCTGAGGACTCCCCAAAGGCAGACACTGCTTCTTGAACAGCCTGCAGAACCAATTAAACCTCTTTTCGTTACTCATTACCAAGTCTCAGGTATTTCTCTGCAGCAATGCAATTCCTAATACAGTGGCTGTAATAGGAATCTACCCAATTAGTCCATAAGCATATATTCATCATTAGGCATGACCCTCACAAGTCCATGGGCCCTCAATTCTCCTTAGTTGGAACCAAAATACCAAGAAGATCCAGTAGTCTCAAAACCCAGTAATAGGCCTAATCCTTTAATTTGTTCCAATATTGTTCTGTCGGAAAACACTGACTCTTATTTACATGATTGATAATTGTTGTATTTTGTTATTATCAGGAAATCTACAAAAGCTTAAAATCCAAAGTATTTCTCATGAGATCAAGTAACTTATTCACACATTGCTGATACTTTGTTACAATACAAGGATAGCATCCATAGTTTCCAAAATGAAAGAAAGACATAGAGAAGGAAGAGGAGGAAGAGTAAGCAAGGAAAAAGAAGGGAAAGGGTAAGACGGTTAAACCCAACAATATTCAAAAACAAAAGTATGCTAATTCCTACAACTTTACCTAACAGAATATGATACCTACACAATAATTTGGTCCTTAAAGCTCTTTTGACAAGAAAACAATAATACTTAATGAACAATTACAAGAACAAGAAAATCTGATTTCCAAGAAGAAAGGAATATCAGAACGAACTATAACAATAATGTTGTTTTCCTTTCTACCATGTTTCTTTCACAGTGTAAATTCTAAAGTATAAATCTATATGAGGAATAGCTACAAGTTTTAATGAATGATAAAGTCAATATATTTATTTTATATGTCTTAAATTACAAAGTCCTACAAAAATCTGTTTCTTTTATTTAAAAAAGTTAGATTTCTAAATGAAAATACACCTACCACACTTGACTATTCATGAAGTCATAGCCAGAATAATAGATTTAGCCAGCAATAGTAAATGTCAAACTTACATTCTCCTCTGCCAATAAAATTAATAGTCTTTTGAATAAAAATGACATACAACATATATTCTTTCTTAAGAAACAAAACCTACTGGTCCTTGCTTTGAGTTTCTTAATAGAGCTTAACTACTTTTTTTTACTTCTTCATAGAGCAACAGAACAAGACTCTAGCTATGCCAAATACTCTATCAGTTTTTATTTTTAAAATGGTATGAGCTTTGGCTAATGGAAGTCTCAAGATAGTGAAAAATAAAACGATTCAATATCAGTGGTGCATATATATGTTCATTATATTCCAACTTACCCAGTACACTGACAAAAGCATCAAAAAGATGAAATGTAAGCAGAGGCTCTTTCAAGTGACCATAGTAATCAGCTATGGTTTTAAAGACATCTTTTTCAAATCCCAAGTACATAGGCTGCTTCAAATCAGAACAGTTGGGCCCTATTTTCAAAAAGAGAGTGAAAGAGAAATATTAATGGAGTAATTACCTCTAAGTATTATTCTCTGTGAATATGTGTGGCGTGTACAGATATTCAGATATTTAACATATACAGAAAAGTTTTTATGGGGAAAATTGATATTAATTAAATAGGCATTCTACATTGACATTAATTAAACAGACATTTTACATTTTGCCTACACACATATGCTTTATGTCTAAATAGAAATCTATTATAATACAATGAAGAAAATCACCCGCTTACTTCCATTTTAAAAGAAACCTGTCTTTTTAAAAAAAATTCTTCTGAAAGGCATTTTTATTAAATGTAAACAATGATAATTTTCTTTGAAATACTCAACATTATCCTAGTCTTAATAAAGTTGACCAAGATAACAATTAGTTCACATTTGTAATAGATAAGTTATAAAGCAATTTTTAAAGCTTTTCATTATTTCATCATTGCTATATTATAAAATCCTACAGTCAGAGAGTTGAGCAAAATAATCAATTTCTGCCTCTATTTCAGACTAATAAATATTTGTTAAACTTAAATCCTTAAAAGGAGATTTTATATTTTGTCTTAATTCACTCTGATTATAAACGGTCTATTTGATCCCTGACCAACCATCAAAAGACAGTTTATCAAGCAAAGTCATACTGCAAAGTTGAAGCAACCATTGAAACCCTTAAACGGCCTGCTCCCAACCATACCCTACTCCAGCAACAAGCAAGGAAATAGCCAGAATAATAGATTTAGCCAGTGTATGGCCCAAAGAGGAGCAAGAAATTTCTCTACAGAGTTGGCAACAACTGCCCCACCAATCCATCCACAGACCACAGATTTACACTGCCAAGTTGAGAGATGAACTGGAGCTGCCTGCACCTTGAGGAAAATAGCAAGTGGTCCCAAGAGGAACAGTGTAGCCAGCCTTCTCTATTTCCATTACAGCATGGAAGAAAGGACCACATCCGCATTGGCTAGTTCTGGCCCAGCAGAAGACTAAACAACTGTACCCAAATAGACCTCTATCCCCAGAAGAACAAAAGCAGCAGCCAAGATAAACTGAAAGGAAATTCTTCCTACAGAATCTCTGTAACTAAAGAAAGGGGATCAAGTTAAAAAGGGCAGTAAAGCATTCCAGGTCTTCACATTTTGAGGTCACCGTGACATGATCAAATGGCTTTTTCATCGTCCTTAAAGACTCTCTTACCTTTCAATATTCTGTTCTCTTCTTATAAAATAATTTGATTGGCTAAAATAATGAATGTTGTGAAATATCTATGTGTGTGGTACCACATGAATCCAGCAGCAAAGGTAGTTGCCATTTTGCTTGCCTCGTCCTCTGACATATCCCAAGCTTAATCAATTAAAATAATTAGGTTGATATGTCTAGCAAGCAATACACATTGCCTAGAATTACTCCTGGCAGGATAAGTATGTGGTTCATTCTAAGCCGTTGTACCCCTTTGTGAACATCTCATCATCCTTCTTAAAAATATGCAAAAAAATTTTAAAGGTTTCCCTAAAAAAAAAAAAACAGTGCATAGTGAGCCCTATGAGAGGAAGCCATATTTTTATGACATTTTCTTTCTCAGTTATCTTGAACTTTAATAATAATAAATTTTTTTTTCATAAATGTTATTGCTGACAGATTCTGGAAAAGAAATGCTTTGACTTTTCTGTATCTATTTTTTATTGAATCCTGGACATGTGCAAAGAAGAAAAACACAGTTAACCTGGTTTTGCATTTATGTAACCAGCATTGAGGCTGGCCAACAATGAATGTATACAGGCCCATGTGCACACGGGTGTGACAATAAACACAGATGGGCCTGAAGAGAAAGAGGCGAGCAGCACATGAGCAGAAAAGGAAGCAACAGGCCTTCAAAATACCATACAATCAGCCTATCCTTTCTGTACCCTTTTAGATGACTGTAACGCGAATCTGGACTTATCAAGGACAGGACGGACAAGAAACAGGTCGTGACTTTGGTGGACTCAAAGTAGATTTTGAGGGTCAACAGGAATTTCAGAAAACATAGACTTTATAAAGTTACTCAAAAGGTTAATCTTGCCCTTTGGCCACCTTTATTTGTTTGACACATAAACATCTTTACAGATATGCCAACCACTCACAAAGCATTGTACTTGATACATGTAAGACAAGTTCCCTTTTCCCAGCACTTGCCACCTAGTATCATTTCACCTCACACACATGAAGATCATTAATAATTCACTCCTCACATCTTTGCTCTCCATTGATAAGAAATTAAGAGTTATTCTAAGCTTTCTGTAGAAGTTTTTTGGCTTTAGGTGCACATGTTGCTTGCGGTAAAATTATGTTCTTTACTACATTTCAGTTATCATTGAAAATTCAACATCATAAACATCTTACTATATATTTTACAATATATTACAGGCTAAATTGGTTATACGAGCTTCCTATGTTCATTCTTAGCTGATCAACTTCTAAATCCTTGGTTTGCCAGTTCGGAAATGGGAAGTTTAACTTCCCATTTATACTTTCTATCTCATCATTTCCAACCCTAGACAAAGATGCAATTTAAATTTCATTTACTTCAAACGCCTGAGCAGGAAGAATAAAAAGTACTTCCCCTACTAAGACCATAGTACTCTGCAACTCAGAAGTTCCAAAATTTTAACCAAAAACCAATGAAAATTTTAATAATTAAACCCAGAGAAACTTAGGATTCACACAAACTAATGGTTACTATTCATATACAGAAGGATAGTATAGAATGAATAACACTCATTCAAAAGACTATTCAAAATCATAGGATCATGTTCCATATATTACCACTAAGATGCCCCACATTAAGCTTAAGAGTTATTTTAGTTTCATTCTATAATCAAACAAAATTAATTCCAGCTAAACCCATATTTTAGGGTCTACTAACTCACGAATTTAAAGAGAATTTACACCTATATGTGTAATGCTAGTCCTGTACAAAAGAAAGGAGAATAAACTACTACCTTGTGGTATCTGTGAGACTCAAAAGGCACTCCAGACCAAATATCACTATTATCAGTCAGCCAAAAGAACCAGAACTCTTTCCATCAAAATTACTTGTTTGGGTTAAGCCATTGATCATTAAAATCCCTTCTTTGGGTTAACCCGTCTGAAAATTCCCAGAAGAATGGTAGCATTTCTGAGATACTATAACAACTAATGCCTTCACAGTACCTATGATATTCACTGATCTCGAAATCACATGCCTATGAAATGGATTTCATATACCTATAAATATCCTCACAGGGACCACTGTGGTCCAGGCCCTGTCATCTAACATCCAAATTACTGGAATAGTCTTTCTCATTTCTCTACATGCAGGTTCTTCTCCTTCCAAACCATCCTTCATCCTGTGATGAAGCAATTAGAATTAGTGTGGATGGATCTACTAGAAAGTACAAGTACTAAACCCCTTTAAAATTGTTCTAGAATTCAGTCCTTTCACTAAGTCACAAATTTATCACTAAAAGCACAGTAGTCCCAAAATAATTAACTGCCAGTCTCACAGGTGTCAAATCAATGTTCAGGCCATTGAGCAGAAATTTTTTCTAATTTAGGGCACTAATTTCTGTTAATTTCACAAAACTGTCAGATAATTAGTACTTACAATTTGCCAAACACTTCATAGCTGACAGCACCCAATGAGGAAGTTCTTCTGAAGGAAAAATAAAAAGAAGAAGAAAATTTTAATTCAATTCCATATAACTCAAGAAATCATATACATACTTGGTATCATAAGAATGCATTACTTGCACAAGTAATGTGAACCATATCTGCTAATCACAAATCACCAATTTATGTAATTAGAACATTTAAAAGATGGAAATCTTTCCTTGGCAGCAGTAACAACATGTGCTTACATAAATCATGCCTACAGATTTCTCTAAGGACACAATGCACCTTTTAAAGCTGCAGTAAAATATATATATACACACACACACACACACACATAGTTTGCTCCAAACAAACCAAAAGAGAAACCAATTATTTTAAGAATTAAAAGAAGAAAAAGAAAAGAAAAAATATTAGTCATCAAACACATTTGTGAAACGAGTCCACCAAACACCACCAGCCCCACAAAAAGGGTAATTCTGTAGGTGCAATATAAGTATCATTTTACATGTTTCCATTTTCAAAATGCTTTAGGCCAAGAAAGTTCCACTTACATATTAATGTTAGGCTATTAGTATTAGGACAACCTTTAAATAACAGTAACCTAACATTGCTACAAAAAAATCCCAGCTGAACCATTTGGTACAGAATCTCTTCCCTCCAGGCCCTGCCACAGACATCTGATGAGATGGACTAGCACTCGGGCTGCCACTTCACCTTCTCTATTTCTGTAAAACTGCAAAGACACTTGTTGAATTGTGTTAGATCTAACAAACCGGAGTCTTGTAAAATGCTCTCTTCTTTCTTAAGATCTTACTTAATAAAATGAAAGATGATTGATCATCTAACTGATAACTAAAAGTATTAATTTGTTACACTCAGAGAATGTGGAGGAATTTTAGATGTATTTCAAAGGCTGCACTCTCCCCCTCATTCTATGGAACTTAATTTTGTATGTTGATATTAACTTCACAACTCATAAAGTCACTACAAACTTATTCTCATTGTTCTCCATTCCTTATATAGTGACTATAAAAGGAGAAGTGTTTCAGGTCTGAAGATAGGTTCTGCAGGTTCTGCTCCTGTCAGCAAACATGGCCTAGAAAAATCTCTTCCCCTCTCACCACTGTTCAGGCTATTCTGCTATATTCTGTCTGCTTCCCAGGAGCCTCCCGCCCTAAATTTAATCATATTTCTAAAAAGTCAAAAAGTATTATGCCATCTTCTCACATCCAAAGATCATCAAGTTCCAGTCAATTCCCAGCATCGAGGGTTTGAACTAAAGGAAGAACAAATCAATGAGCCCATCCAAATCTGGTCCTTATCCACAGAAAGATTTAAAATCAGTGTGGGGGCTGTGGTCCACTGTCAGTACCCTAACCACATTTGTACAAATCAAAAACCAGGTTAGGTGGCTGTTAAATGTTTTGTTTTATTTTGTTTTGTTTTTCTGATTTGTAAACTGGCCCAGGGTGGGAAATATGAAAAATTAAAGCAACATCAATATTTTAAAAACTACCTTATTAAAAAGAACCAAGACTATTCCAGAAAATCTAACACAGAGAAACCAAAACAAACATGTAAGTGAGAATTCTAAAAGCAATCAGATCCCAGGGCCCACCTAAAAACTGACTCAAACTCTTAGTTATGTCTTGAATATTCTCACTTTTCAGAGATCTCCCTGGGAATACAGAACCACTTAATGCCCAAGGTGGCTAACACTGAACTAGCTTCTGGAAGGATTTTGCTGAGGCTCTCATTCCTAGATATTCATCTTCCTATGACATTGCCTTAATCCAAACAATTTGTTAAAAGGTATTAGAAAGAATATATGTAATGAAGGAACAAACTTATTCAGGGTTTAGGGAAGGGTCAAACAGGAGCTGATGGACCTATGCAGCCAATATATTGTGTCAATAAGTAACAAAATTATGTTTATGCACTTACTTGACTTGTCATCAAGAATAACAACTCCCTGCTTGCTAACACTATATACATTATGGATGATGAACTTCGAATTGACAAGTTTGATGTCTAAAACTTCTTCTAAGGAATCCAGGCCAAGAATTTTCTGTAAACTAAAAGATAAGTAATTATATTAATTAGTTCTTTCTTTCATATTATATTTACTCATAAACCTGGTACTACAAAAAATCAATCTTCATAATGCTTTATTTTCATGCACTGCACCTAATCTTTGTGGGACAAAAAGGGTAGAAATGGAGTACAATAAAACAAATGTAAAGGATATCCTTTTTTTATTAACATTTTGCTTCACAGATTTAGTAATACGCCAAATGACAAGAAAGTAATTTTGTAAGTAAAATTACTACAACACAAAAACTAACTTACCCAATGATAAGAAACTACTATTAGCATATCTTCATGAGAAACAAAATTTTGCTGTATATGATTAACTTTATACGAATAGTACATCAATATCTAGGAGACCAAATTTTCTATTATGTATTTTATTACACTTAAGAACTTTTAAACTCCTAACTATTATGTAAATAGCAGGAGATAATCCCCAGAATTCCGCTAAACTATGTTGACTGAGCACAACTGCAAATAATGCAAAGTGGAAATTTTTATATACAATTTCAGAAAATTAAATATGCAGAGAGTGAAGAAGTAGCAAAATAGGAAACAATATCTCTAAAATTTATCATTAATATCAAATGTACATACTATGATAATGTCATAGACTTCCATATCTCTTCTACATTGGCCTCTGTCAGCTGTCTGCGGTGGACAAGACGGCAAGCTGGAACCTCTCCAATAGCAATACTGTGACGCTTGTACCACATCTCAGAATTCTAATGGAGGGGGATGTAAGAAGGGAGGGCAGGAGAAACAGTAGAGAGAGAGAGAATAAGTATTTCAATATAAGGTGGTGTGATTTTTATGAGAAATGTCTTTGATTTGGTCACCTGTAATTTGATTTAAAATAATAATTAGAAACATAAACTAACTTTCTTTGCATGAACCTCAGAGAAGCAAAGAGTGATTCTTAAGACTAGGTCACATTATAAATGAATATTTATGAATTACAAAAGAGCTATGGCAATAAGTATGGCATTAACTAGCTAATTTTCCCTGTGGATGTTTCAACTAATCAGTGACATAGCAGTGAAATAAAAGTTTATTAATTAAAAATTAAGGGGCCGGGCGCGGTGGCTCAAGCCTGTAATCCCAGCACTTTGGGAGGCCGAGACGGGCGGATCACGAGGTCAGGAGATCAAGACCACCCTGGCTAACCCGGTGAAACCCCGTCTCTAGTAAAAAATACAAAAAAATAGCCGGGCGAGGTGGCGAGCGTCTGTAGTCCCAGCTACACGGGAGGCTGAGGCAGGAGAATGGCGTAAACCCGGGAGGCGGAGCTTGCAGTGAGCCGAGATCCGGCCACTGCACTCCAGCCTGGGCGACAGAGCGAGACTCCGTCTCAACAGAAAAAAAAAAAAAAAAAAAAATTAAGGAATACATATCTAAATTCACACACAGTACATATTGATTATTGAAAATGAAATTAAAATGTATCACTTTTGAGGGTTGTCTATTTTTTTATAAGCAAATATCAAGTAAGTGCAATGTTTGAAAGTAGCCCCCAAATCTTAGGCATCTGCAAAAGGCTCCACAAGGACAGCTGAAGATGGCAAAAGGAAGAGAAGGGGTTTTTTTGTTTGTTTGCTTTTTAGCATTACCTCAATCCTGGTAGTCTTCTACTGGGGATATTTTAAGGAAAAAATGTGAAAAAAAAAAAAAAAAAGAGGCAGTCAATTCTATAATGAGCTTAGGTTTTCCAAGACTAGAAGAATCTACCTTTGTTTATATATTTGGTCAGGGGCTATTCCACAATATTCCATGCCCTAATCTTCTTACCCTCAACTGGCAATAATAACAAAGTTTAGGAGGAAGAGACAAAGAGCAAAAAGAGTAATAAATTATAGAACATACAAGAAAAGGCGTTTACAAGAGAGTTTTAACAAAAACCTGCTCAGTCTGAACATACAAAAACAGCTGCCATATACAATTGACCCTTTATATCTATGGGTTTTACATCTCTGCATTCAACCAACCACAGATTGAAAATATTCAGGGGGAAAAAATGGATGGTTTCATCTGTACAGAACATGTAGATTTTTTTTCTTGTTATTCCCCGAACCGGGGGTCCTCAACCCACAGGTCACAGACTGATATCAGTTCATAGACTATAATAAACCAGGCTGCACAGCAGGAGGTGAGCGTTGGGCAAGTGAGTGAAGCTTCATCTGTATTTACAGCCTCTCCCTGTTGTTCACATACTGCCTGACTTCCACCTCCTGTCAGATCAGCCGCAGCATTAGATTCTCACAGGAACGTGAACCCTTTTGTGAACTGTGTATCTGGGGGATCTAAGTTGTGTGCTCCTTATGAGAATCTAATGCCTGATGATCTGTCACTATCTCCCATCATCCCCAGATGGGACCATCTAGTTGGAGGAAAACAAGCTCAGGACTCCTACTGATTCTACATTATGGTGAGTAGCATAATTATCTCATTCTATATTACAACGTAATAATAACAGAAATAAAATGCACAATAAATGTAATGCACTTGAACCATCCCGAAACCACCCCCATCCCCACCCCAGCAGTCCTGGTCCGTGGAAAAATTGTCTTCCACGAAACCCATCACTGGTGCCAAAAAGGTTGAGGACTGCTGCCCTAAACAATACAACAACTATTTACATGCAAGAGTGAAAACCTGCAAGAGTCAGTCTTTCTTTGTTACCGGTCTCCCAGCTGTTGGCAGGTATGATTTTGTTTTGAAGTACCTTTAAACTATTGTTCATAAAGGACCACAGAGAGACAGACCAAGCCTAAGAGTTCATGGATGATTCTCCCTGCTGCCAGCCCCTCCGTCTTTCAGTTATGGCACTTACCATCACAACTGGCCTCACTGGGATGTTCTCTTGTGAAGTGCCTGGTGGGGGATCATTCCATTCTGGAAACTTAATAACATCCTTTTGGTATGGGGGTTTCTTTGGATATGGTTTCAGGGGTGAAGAAGGAGGAAATCTAAAACCCAAGAAGAAATTCTCTATTACTGCAGTCAGTGGGAGACACAGATATTTTAACAATAGTCTCCACTTTTGTGTCCCTGTAAAGTTATACAGTAATTACAAACTTCAGATAATAAATGAGCTCATACTTAATCAAATTATTACACATGATTAATTGTACCCAACAATAATATGGTTTTCTTTTTAATATTCATTCATTATGCCCATCAAATAACATTTATGGAGAAAAACAGGAATTGAATATGTGGCACATTTTTAAATAAATAAACAAAACTTGTTCTCTTATCATGTGATGCCCATGATCAAAGAGGTTCTTAAGGAGATGCTAGACTAAGCCATTTCTTTCACTGAGCTAAAATCCTTACTGCCTCATAACTCCAGCCAAAATGCATACATGGTGAGCTGCATATAGAAATTATTGGTAGAGAAATCCTCAGAAATACTTGCTAAGAAAGAATACATTAACACAAAAATCATTTGGCTTAATTTTCACTTGTATTACTATTTCTAATAAAGATTAATCCTTTTTCCATTGAATATCTAGCACTTCACACTGAGATTGGAGCTTCGGTCTAGAAACCCATCTTGGAAGGAGCTAGAAAGTGGCCATGTCTTTATTCTGCCCTTCCACACTCTCCCCTGTTCCTAGCCTTCCTGTGTATTGACAGCATCACTCCTTGGACTAATACCTAAAAGTCTAAATAAATTTTAATTTTTAAAACTGCTCTATACCATACCTGGTAAATAACAGAAAGGTGATTGAATACATAGTTTTTATCACAGAATCTTTTTCTGTAGGCTTGTTAGAAAAGGATACAATGCATTACATTGCACTGCAAAAGCAATGTAAGAACTCTAGTTCTTAATGTTGATATAAAAGGCAGTGGGTTGTTGACTTTTATTTTGACTTTTTATTTACTTAAGCCAAAATAACAGCTTAATCCATATTATCCATAGGAAAAAAATCATACAAATAATGAAAGACCTTATCTCAAAGCAAATGCAGAAATAAAGAATTATAAAATGTCTATAGTGTTCAAGGGAAGTTTATATGAAGGTGAATCCAGAGAATCACAAACAAGAGTACTAAAGGAAACAGAATGTGCCACCTCAAAATATTCCTCTTTGACATAATTTTTTGGATCTAAAGGCCATTTGAAGCAAATACAGAAAAGCACTCTTTCCTCTGTCTAAGAGCAGGAGAATTATTAATATAAAGACAAAAGGTCGATCTTTCTCTCTTTCCTGCCTCAAAACAGTATGTAAATTCTCCTTTACAACCTTTATCAGCTTAGAGACTGCACCAGAGGCATCTAAGCAGACTTTATTAGTTTCCCCATAAATTTACTTTCCCACACTTTCCTGTCTTTGGAAGCCTTAAACTGCTTTCATGTGTCCTGATGCTTCTCTAAAATTTATTGCTTTTTGTTGAAGACCTGATATAAGCTGGGACTCTAAGGCACTGCATCTAGTTATCTTTCTCCCATGGAATGTGCACTGCACACATTAACAAACCTGCTCATTTTTCTCTTGTTAATCTGTCTTTTCTTGCAGGAGTATGTCCCAAGTATGAACTTCTGAAGGTTGACAAAAACTATAATTTCTCATCTTCAAATAGAGAAACATTTCAAAAACAGTCACAATAGATTTGAAAAGGAATGACTAGTGGAGAAAAGTTGCATTTCATCTTTTCTGAAAAGAATATCCAAGAACTATTTTAAACATCAGTTTGGGGTCAGTTAAAAAAAGAGAGAGATCTGGAAATCACTGAATCAAGTTATAGATAGCTTAAAGTTTGGTAATCAAGTTACCAAGGCAGGTGTTCCCAAAAGATTCCAAAATATAAACTAAATGAATCTCTATAGCCAAAGCATCTTTCTTTGTAAATAAAGGGTGGCTTATAAAAGTCCAATTATATTTCTTAGAAGTCAACAATCCCAACAAATGCCCATTTCCAGACAAAGTACAGCATTTATGCATGTGTATGTGCACACACGCTCGCATACACATAGGATATGTTCACAGATCATCCACCTCTCAGTTCATTCAAAACTAAACAAAATCCCTACTCCCATCCCACCACTAATGCCCTCTGTTTACTCTCCCACTTCATCCCCTCAACTATGACACAAAAATTTTCAGACCTGAGTTCCAGGCTTTCTCACAAACTGTCTATGTGTCTTTAGAAAGTATAAGTCTCTCTAAATAATAATTCATTTATTTGTCAAATGAAGGAATTAAATTGGATGACCCATAAATTTTCTCCTAAGTCCAAAAAGATGCTTCTTATATTCCCATAACCAGAAAAAAAGTAATATCTTCCAAAGACCAAAGTAGAATTTGTTACGTGTAAAACTGTGATTGAAGAGATACCAGGAAATCACTTTTTTCCTCCACACTAAGAAGATGAGATCTTTGCTGTCAGTAACATCTGCAGTTACCAACAGAAGATGTGCTATCTATTTTCACAGCAGTCTGACAACTTTGCCTGAGAAAAAATGCAGAAGAGCTCCCTCCAGTGGAGTACTTTTATTTTGGGCATTGAAAGTAATTTAATCCTAACATTTTAATAATGTAATATTTCAACTGTTAAAGATGATCCAGTTCAAATGCCACATTTTTCACTCAGAGAAATAAAGGCTCAAAAGAGGAAAGCAACTAATTTAAAAGCTTCACAACTGGCCAAGAGAACAAACCATCTTACACAAAGGATTTGCAAGCCAAATTAAATCTTACACAAAGGATTTGCAAGCCAAATCTTAAATCAAAGGATTTAAGAAAATTATAAAAATTTATGCAAAAACAAGACAGTGTGCCCCCTAAAAAGAAAATTATAAAATTTTATTGAAAGACATTAAAAAAGAACTAAATTGATAGCTATATTATGCTGGTAAATAAGATTCTATCTTAAACTCAGGCTCAAGCAATCCTCCTGTCCTCCTGTTTCAGCCTCCTAAGTAGCTGGGATTACAAGTAGTTGCCACTGTGCGCAGCTTAGTGAATAAGATTCCATATCACACAATGTTAATTTTCCCCCATGAAGATACATAGTTACAATGAAAATTTAATAAAAACATTAATACAAAAATTTTTATGAAACATGGTAAACTTATTCCAAACCAGGCACAGTGACTTACATTTGTAGTCCCAGCTACTTGGGAAGCTGAGATCACTTGAGGCCAGGAGTTCAAGACCAGCCTGGGCAATAAAGCAGACCCCATCTCTAAAGTAAAAAAAAACAAGAAACAAGATCAACTGATTCTAAAATTTATACGAAAATGCAAAGGCCCAAAAATAAGACATTCTTAAAGAAGAAAAACAAAGTGAGGTGACTTGCCCTATCAGATATCAAGACTAACATAATAGGGAAATACTAATGGCAGAGACCATACTTCCCCAAGTTCCGCATTGTTGACATTTAGGGCAGGATAGTTATTTGTTATGGGGAGCTGTCCTGTGCACTGGGGGATGCTGTTAAGTGCAAAGCATCCCTGGCCTCTACTCACTGGATGTCAGTAGCACCCTACACACAACACACACACCTGTTGTGACAACCAAACATTTCTCCAGACATTGCCAAATGTCTTCTGCAAAATGGCCCCCAGTTGCAAATCATGGGTCTAGACAAAGAGAATTCAAAACAAATAAACATTACTCTTTAGAAACATGATTTATGATAGAGCAGACATTAAAGATCAATGGGAAAGTATGGACTGTTCAATAAATAGTACTGAGCCAACTGGTTACCTATTTGGAAAAAATGAAATTGCATCCTGGTTCAGCCTGCCATATTTCCAAAGGTGTTTACAATCATACCTCCTAACCATATGCCCTTTTGCAACATGATCTTGCCACTACTGTATCAAGAGGCAGAGCGTCTTTCTCTATCCTCTCAAGTCTAGGTGAGCCCCCTATAATTGCTTTGATAAATACAATAAGGCAGAAGCACTAGCCTAACTGGCTAGAACTCTCTTTCTGCCTCTTGAAACTCTCACTCTTGTATAACTCATTATTATGAAGCTCCCTCCTGGAAACCAGCCATCTTATAAGAAGTATGACCACCATGAGACCACCATGTTGTGAAATATCTAAGCAACAGAAAGAGGCCCTAGAAGACGAGATACTGCAAGGAAAGAAACTGAGATAAAGGAGCACCAAAATTCCACATCTGCAAATAAACAAATATTCCTGGAGGTGGATTCTCCAGCCTCAGCAGCCCCAGTTTATACCCACCTAAGCAACCTTCCAAAATTCCTGATCCACACAATTACGTAAAAACTACAATGGGCCAGGCACAGTGGCTCACACCTGTAATCCCAGCATTTTCAGAGACCAAGGTGGGTGGATTGCCTGAGGTCATGAATTTGAGACCATCCTGCCCAACATCGTGAAATCCCATCTCTACTAAAAATACAAAAATTAGCCAGGCGTGGTGGCGTGTGCCTGTAATACCAGCTACTCAGGAGGCAAAGACAGGAGAATTCCATGAATCCAGGAGGCAGACGTGTCAGTGAGTTGAGACTGCGCCACTGCACCACACCAGCCTGGGCAACAGAGCCAGACTCCATCTCAAAAATAAAGCGGGGAGTGGGGGAGGAGGGGGGGGGGTTCCAAGATGGCCAAATAGGAACAGCTCCAGCCTCCAGTTCCAAGAATGAGTAACACAGAAGATGAGTGATTTCTGCATTTCCAACTGAGGTACTGGGTTCATCTCACTGGGGCGTGTTGGACCGTGGGTGCAGGACAGAGAGTGCAGTCCACTGAAAGAGAGCTGAAGCAGGGTGAAGCATCGCCTCGCCCTGGAAGCACAAGGGGGAAGGGAATTCACTTGCCTAGCCAAGGGAAACTGTGACACACAGCACCTGGAAAATCGGGTCACTCCCATCCTAATACTGCGCTTTACCAAGGGTCTTAGCAAACAGCACACCAGGAGATTATAATCTGCACCTGGATGGGAGGGTCCCACGCCCACGGAGCCTCCCTCATTGCTAGCAC